CGGCCCGCTGGGAGCTGTAGTCCCCGACCGCCGGGGGGACCCCGCGCCCAGCCGGCGGCCAGCGACGGCGGGGCTACAACTCCCATGAAGCCGCTCGCTCTCCGCCTGGTCGCCCAGCGGACTACAAGTCCCACGGTGCCCCTCGCAGCCCTCCCCGCCTGCTCCCTCGCTCTCCTCACGGCGGGGGGACCGCGCTTCCCGGGGCGCCGCCGGGCGCGCTGAGGAGCTGGTGCCGGGTCCCTCAGGGGCGCGGGGTCTCCGCTCCGGCCCCGCGGGTGAGGGCGCTGGGCGGGGTCCCGCAGGCCGGTGCCGGCCCCAGCATAGGCGGGAGGGGCCTGGGGGCTTCCCTTGCTCAGCCCCTCGACGTGGGCCTTAGCCCCAGGCTAGCACCTGAGTTTTGGGAGCTTGTTTTTAATGGCAACTAGGCTCATCCTATATATATGCCAATTACAGGCCAGTGGCTACAAAATTGTTAGTTCAAACTGTAATTACAGGCTGCTAAACACCTGTTTTGCTGCTGTAGTACAGCAAAAGGGAATGCTGTCTGGTAATCCTGACGCTTGTCAGAGGTATGTTGAGGTGTGGAGGGCACATGTGCACTATTAAGTGGTTATGGGGCTGTGTCTTTATTATTAACACATTCCTCATCTACAGAGAGTATTTAACCTGTGTGTCCACTGCATAGGCAACTTGTAACATACTCACGGATTACTTGCGTCAGCCTAGGCCTACTAAAGGCAATGGGGGTTTTGCTGCTGCTACTTGTTGGCTCCAGGAGTTCATCTGTGCCTGTCGGAGTGAGTTATTGTACTCCACTGAGTCATTTAGCGCTTCCAAAAATGCTGACACATAGTTTGCATTTCATTAATGGCTTTAATCAAGTTTCCCATATGCTTTACAAACAACATGCCTGATCATTTTTATGGGTAAAACGTCTGCGAAGGCCGCTAATTCGATCGTTACTTAGCATGAGAGGGAAGAACGGGAGCTTTTCCATAGCACGCAAGAGTAGTTCCCCTAGAATTTACAGCAGGAAGGGATGTACCCATAAAGAATCATAGTAAGTGGAAAATCTAGGGAATTAGTTAACAGAATAGTACTAGCTTATATAGAATTTGCCCACTACCTAAGGACATGGCTTCCATAGGCTGGTTTATGAATGAAGTCTTTCTCCTCAAGCAGTTGTAAGCACCTTAGTGCAAGGGTGGCACTGTGATGTGTTCATCGGCATCAGTTCCAACACTACTGTATTTGGAGACATCTTTTACAGCTAGCTATTACAGATGATCTAAATCTCTTAGACTGCATAATTCCCTTGAGGTTACAACTTCTGTGAGGCCATTCAGTGTAAGTTATACCTGAAGCGAAGCATCATGTCCTATGATGCTATATGGATACCCAGCAGGCTCAGTTTCTTCCTTGGTCCTTATCGGCTTGTGACATCTTGTGGAAACAGTTGACATTGCTATGACAGTGAATTTCTTATAAATACTATTGGAGTCTTTCATGATTTCAACATATATATAAACCCCTATCAAACACGATTTCTGCGGGTATTGAGCTATTGGGTACAGCTTTAGGATCCCTATAGATCCCATAGGACCCAGGGACCTGCTGTGAAGGATGCGCTCGACCCGTTGACCAGACTCGCGGTGGTTTGATGCAGGCTCCGAAAGAGATAAAGGCCTGAGCTACAGACGGGCCGTGAACTCCTCCAGTTTCAGTCTCTTCTCTGAAAACCCACAAAGGAACAGAGCGACTCCTTTATCAAGGAACAAAGCAAGCTGTGGGTACAAGGAGTCTCCTGCATACCTTTTCTCTCTTCTCGCGTGTTATTTGACTACGAGCCAACCACTTTATTCCATAAATCCGACAGCCTAAGTGAGCCTCCTTTGAGCTCTCCCTGCTAGGCAGCGTGGCTGCATGGCGGTGATCTCCCCCTCCCGGGACACCTCTCAAGGTTGCTCCTCGAGGCAGAGAGACTTTTTGCCAACGACAGATCTTTGGTAAGCGACCAATATTGTGCATAACCTTTTGTCCCGGTAACTTTGTACGCTGAATTGATGCTAATGAAGCATTATATAACCTTTGCATATATAATTCTTTAGACATAAACCGTTGACCAAGTCTGGGACTAGGATTAGATCCAGCCGCACCTAGACTCCTCTCTGAGGAAGGAGTTTAGAAAGCAAGGAGGTCCTTTCTGAACCTCGTGACTCAGCAGGAGGGTCTTCCTTACTTCTTGTATTTCTTCCATTAGACATAAACCGTTGTCCAAGTCTGAGACTAAGATTGGACCTAGCCACACCTAAGCTCCATCAGGAGTTCAGAAAGCAAGAGGGTCTACTGTGAAGGTCGTGACTCAGCGGGAGGGTCTTCCTTACCCTCTGCACCTCCAGTCTCTCTGTGAATCATTCTAACTCGAGTGTAACTCAATTTTCCTTTGTATGATTCTTCCATGCAGTAACTAATAGAGCGAACCTTGCCATCAAACTTTGTTAAGCCGCACTTCTACAACATCATATTAAAACCACTTTTGCTAATACCTTTGTCTGTGATTCCTCAAGTGTTCTAAATCACCCATTCGTGACAAATTGGTGTAGTCAGCAGGATCCTAAATCAGGATTTGAGACACCTGCCTGTGGTGTCTCACACCTTTACTCAGCTGTGGACAACGCAGTTTAAGGTAGTTTGGCTAAACCAGGACTCACTCCTCCTTCTCGTCTAGGTCCTATCTCATTATCAGATGTTTCCTCTTTTCCCGTGCAGTGCTTGCTGACAGGCCACATGTGGGACAACTCTTTTTTTCTTCAGTACCAGGCTGGGCAGATGACGGCTTTCAGCTGATAGAGAATAGGAGCACAGCAAACTTAAGGCATCTCTCCACGCTGCTAACACAGCTTCAGATTGTGGGAGACAGACTCACGATGTAGCTGTGTAGCATAAGGTGGGTGTACGCGCGCTCTGAGAATACCATGATATTGCAATATTACTGATATTTAATAATTTAACTTTTTCTAGCGTATTTTTGAAATTGCAAAATGAATGTCATACCAGTAATGGACATTCTCTAACTAAATTAGGTCTAATAAAGGAGTGACCAGAGATGCTATTCTTGTCCCATAGTGAAGATTTGTTTCTTGTTACTGACACCTGTGAGCTTCCCCACAGCAATCTCATTTCTTTACTTCATTGTGTAAATATGTGTGTCTGGGTGGTGTATACACATGTACAAATTTCCCAGGGAAAATAAGGAAAAATTAGATTTTTATTTTTTTTTCCCTCTGTCTTTTACTTCCCCGCTGCAGTTTGTACTCTCAGTGCAGTGCCATGGCTTCTCTAAGTTTCTCAACCACTGTTTCATATTTAGGGAATTGGAGAGAAACTTTGGCACCCTCTTAGCAGGATAGGTACAGTGCAAGCTCTAGCAGGAGAACAGGAGGATGGTGTTAAAGCCTTTTCCTAGCTGCAGTCTCACCCTGCAGTCACCACCATTTTAACTGGTTATATGTGAGGCAGTGTGCCTAAATTCCAGGTTACCGGTGTGAACACTTAGTGCTCTGAACCTGAACTACGCTGGAACAAATTTATTCAGGGGCTGAATCTGAAGCAGAACCTAACTGAAGCAATTTACTAATTTGACAGCCCAGTTTACTGATTTTTTACTTCTGCTGTCCTGTACTGAGTGGAAATACAGCAATGGCAGAAGTAAAACCTGCTGCTCCAATAAATCATCTGCTCAAATGGGGTCAACTTATTCCTATGTACGAATGGGCTACCTAAAAGCGGAAAAGAATGTTAAGTCATTGAAAAGTACTTCTCTGTATCAGACCTTCACTGTATGGTATTTGGCATTAGAAGAAAAATGATGATAAGCCTGAGATATAATCAGAATTCCCCATGGAAGAGAATCTGGAGAAAGTGCCTGCAGAATTCCCAAAGTTACTGGGAGAAGTTAGAGTACTATTGGAGAAAGAGCAAGTATATTATGGAAAGAGCATGAGGCAATTCTAGCTTCAATGAAGATCTTCCAGTTTTTCCAGAGAGAATCTGAAGACTCTAAATTTCTTGGCAAAGCCAAAAAACCCCTGAAGAATACCTTTTCCTTACACAAAAATAGAGCATGGCTAAAAAGATTGGCCACTATGTTGCCGAGTGACATTTTACAACTGATCCATGCACATTTAAGAAGTTAATAGACTAATTAGAGATTTAATTATTTATGATCTGTGATCACAAAAAAAAAAAAATTGAAGTTCACCATTATTGTGTGGATAACTGCTGGACTAGGGAAAAATCTGCCTGTGTCAGCAAACAAGGGAAGGAGCTGAAGTCAGTCTGGCAAAGCGTAAACACAGTATGTGGATAAGTAGTTGGCACGGACAATAATAAAGGTAAGGTTTTATTAAAAGAAAGAGGTGTCTAGCACAAGATGCATACTGTAACAAAAGAAATTCACTACTGTAGTAGCATTCTCTAAATTTCCAGTAGAGCAATATAAAAGCAGCACTTGTAAACAGTGAAAACAGACAAGTTCATGACGAAGAGGAAGTATTGTGTCATACAAAAAGAGCTACTCTGACGGGATTTGATGAAGTGTTATTTGGTGGGGATAAGAAGGACATTCAAAATACAAGACAAATCTGAGCAGTTGTGAATTATATGTTAATGGACAAATGCAAAGAGAAAATGACTGAATTGACAACGGTCACTTGAAGATAGCGGAACATTTGGAAGTCTCAGGGAAGGCTCTCAGTGTAGGAGTTCCTCCATTAGAACAGCTGAAGCGATGAAGATTTTCAAAAGCGAAAATAAATTAATGGAAACCAAGCTTTTAGGCAGACAACACCGTGTCTAATCTTCCATTTCCATTTTTGACAGATACACATTTAGGCAACTTCTCTTCAGAGTTGTGCTACCACTTGGAATTATTCAGAACATTACATTCCCTCATCCTGGAGGATCTCAGGAGACTAAGTAGTTTAATGGCAATGAGAAAGCTCTAGATCACAGTATTTACAGAGCCACAATCTAAATTATCTTCTAGACATGATAAAATATTAGATACTCCAATGCACATTTAGTCATAACTATCTTAATTAATGCAAGCCATATATCGTCATCACCTTTTTGTCTTGTAGGGAAGAAGTGAAACAACAATAAACTGCTGAAATAAAGTGTCGTGGTTTAACCCCAGCTGGCAACTAAGCACCATACAGCCGCTCGCTCACTCCCCCACTGTGGGATGGGGGAGAGAATCAGAAGAGTGAAAGTGAGAAAGCTCGTGGGTTGAGATGAAGACAATTTAATAAGTAAAGCAAAAGCCGCGCACGCAAGCAAAGCAAAGCAAGGAATTCATGCGCTGCTTCCCATTGGCAGGCAGGTGTTCAGCCACCTCCAGGAAAGCAGGGCTCCATCACACATAATGATTCCTTGGGAAGACAAATGCCATCACTCTGAATGTCCCCCCATTCCTTCTTCTTCCCCCAGCTTTACATGCTGAGCATGACGTCATACGGCATGGAATAGCCCTTTGGTCAGTCTGGGCCAGCTGTCCTGGCTGTGCCCCCTCCCAGCTTCTTGTGCCCCTGGCAGAGGACGGGAATCTGAAAAGTCCTTGACCGGTGTAAGCACTGCTTAGCAACAACTAAACCATCAGTGTGTTACCACATTATTCTCATCCTAAATCCAAACCACAGCACTATACCAGCCACTAGGAAGAAAATTACCTCTATCCCACCTGAAACCAGGACAGTCGGGTTGCTCGCAGCCCTATCCAACCTGATCTTGAACACTTCCAGGGATGGGACATCTACAACTTCTCTGGGTAACCTGTTCCAGTGTTTCACAACCCTCATTTCTACTTCATGTCCGATCTAAACCTACCCCCTTTCAGTTTAAAACCATTGCCCCTTGTCCTGTCACTACAGGCCTTGGTAAAAAGTCTCTTGCTGTCTTTCCTATCAGCCCCCTTTAAGTATTGAAAGGCCGCTACAAGATCTCCCTGGAGTGTTCTCTTCTCCAGGCTGAACAACCCCAACTCTCTCAGCCTTTCCTCATAGCAGAGGTGTTCCAGCCCTCTGACCATTTTTGTGGTCCCCCGGACCCTCTCCAACAGGTCCGTGTCTTTCTTGTGCAGGGGGACCCCACAGCCGGACGCGGGGCTCCAGGAGGGGTCTCACCAGAGCAGAGCAGAGGGGCAGAATCCCCCCCCCTCGCCCTGCTGCCCACGCTGCTGGGGATGCAGCCCAGGAGACGCTTGGCTTTCTGGGCTGTGAGAGCACGTTGCCGGCTCGTGTCCAGTCTTTCATCCACCAGTACCCCCAAGTCCTTCTCCTCAGGGCTGCTCTCAATCCCCTTATTCCCCAGCCTGTACTGATATTGGGGATTGCCCTGACGCAGGTGTAGGACCTTGCACTTGGCCTCATTGAACTTCATGAAATTCCCATATTGTCCATTAGAAAAGCACCCTGACCCTCACACAAGGCTCACGCTTCCCATAGTCCTCAGGATTTTTGCCCTTTAAGCTACAAGACACCAAAGATCGATTCCAGGAATTGGAAATGCTAGGACGGCTCACTTTTGGCCGCTACTAAGTGTTAGAGCCCCTGAAGTTTTCAGTTACACGGCAGGAACAGCTATTGGCAGCTGGGATTCACCTGCCGGTTGATGCTCATTCCTTTTCATGAACGCCTCTTCGCGGAACGCCTCACGTTCACAGACA